CCGAAGCTGAATTCGAGGGGTCGATACGAGGCACCGGGCGAATAAAGCTCCCGGTTCAGTCATCAAGTGCCAGTCTTTATCATCTAGACATATCTGATCGAATCACCAACTGTAACTGCGAAGATGAGAACTTACGGTCGTTTAGTATTGCAATTACCCGTCTTTCGGCGATTTGTTGAGTGACCCGAGGAGTCTGTGGGCGAACTTGGGCTTGATTTCCTTGTGGACGGAGATGTGGAAGTAGAGCTGTCTGTAGGTCCAGTACTAAGAGAAACAACACGCGGAAAGTGGATAAGGCGAAAACATGAGGTAAGGATGCTGATTACCATTTTCTAGTCAAGAGGCAGCTGGCAGAAAAACTGGTTCACATACTTTCAATGTTGAAAACATTAAAAAAAGAAGCAGAGCAATCTATGCCAGATAATATCAACCTTTACTACTGAGGTGCATGGGATGACGGTCCGACTGTCGATTTCTGCGATATCGACGGCGTGCTCCAAAACAGAGTGCGAGCGGGGACGGTGACTTGCGTGCGAATTACTTTGGAGTGATAGCGGACTTACGTTGTGTCTGCCGCACTCTCCCTCCCCCCCACCTGTATCCGGTGTCATTAGAGTCAAAAAGGCCGGAGGCGGGAGAGGGAACGGGTGGTTGGGGCGGCCGGAGCCACTCCTTGGCGTACCGCCACGCCCAGGAAGTAGGAGACCACACTAAGAAGGAGCCATTGCAGCCTGACGCTCAGTCCGCCACTCTGCACAAATAACACACACGCACACACACACTGGGCTGACTGCGAGGTCCAAGTCATCATTACAGCCAACGTTCTAACCATCTGGGCACGAGGCCTCACCGGGAGCCGTGATGTTAATCATATCATGCGGTTGCGATAGTAAAACGCAGGCGTGACCTTGGAGAACCTATAAATTTCAATTATTTCTTCCGAGGACGACATCTACCGGAGTGCCCTTGAAATTCCGCTGCTATCGAGCTTATGTGCACCAATCATTCAGGAGTCCTCTGTCAATAACTGCCCCAATTAAGGAAAACTGGACGCCTCTGCGGGATTGGAACTTAGGACAGCAAGAGAAAGGCTTTGGTACAGTCAACACTCTTGTCACCTGAGCTACAAAGACCCCAATGGGAGACGTGAGTCTAACCACAGTTGGGTCAAGTTACTCGCCCAGCCTATTGCAACGTCTAGAATCCACCAAATCTGATACAGTAAGGTGACTACCCAAGCAGGATGTCCTGAGTAATACACGTGGAATCCATCGGATGACTACCCGGGTCACGTAATTAATAGGTGTTGTGGTAGATTTTGAACAATTCATTTTGACTCAACTGTGAAGAACCCGGCGCCTTGGTTGGATACGAATCCACAACAGCAAGGGGAAGGCTTTAGTACAGCCAACACTATTCGCCTGAGCTACGAGGCCCTGGCGAGATCCGTTTCTACTGACTTGATAATTTTTTGCGCAAATTCAGCATGGCAATGCGAACATACAAATTACAGCATATATTGCAAGAAACTGGAAAAAGAACCTGGAAAGGTCGAGTTCAGACGAAAGTGAGTCAAACTTACCCCAAGAGTAATTCTGTCGAGGCACCCAGACGACGTTCGGTAGTCGAAGTCAGTCTCGAGTTATGTGATTCACGCTGACCGTAGTATGATAAAGCTGGAGAGGCAATTTCGGCGCCAACAACCCTTCTGCGTTTGGAGCCCAAACTTAACGTGCTGGTGGAGACTGGGGAATTATAGTCGCAGGAAGCGGGCGAATACACTGTATTCTCGGGTTCAACAACAGTAACGAGATCTTCCGAATAGTTGGCCTGGGAATTTGAGGTTCTCAGGAGAGAATGTCTTCGGCGACTTCTGGATGATCCGACATCAGAATGCGTGGGAAGACCAATACGTCGAGCCCGCTCGCGATGTTTATTACTGGACGGGTATGGGGTACTTGAGTTCTTGAAATGAAGTAAATGTTGAATACCGTAAGGATAAAATTTAAGGCGACCAACCAATCGTCATAAGACCTAAGGGGCACCTATTCACGCCCTTTTCTTCAAACCACAACTGTTTCGTTACTGTAGACAGATAAATGGCACATGCATCGAAGCACGTGCTGGCACAGCAAATAAATTTTAACGATACGTCACGATCGGCTCGTAATCGGCGTCAGCAGGTATACGAAGTCAGAAGGACAAGAAATTAACCCAGCACCCTTCGGCGGATTCTTTTCTTCGGAAAGTTCTGGAAGTCCGACAAAGTCGATAAAACTACCTAGGGGAAATTTTAATAACGAGGGGCACTAGCCACATGAAGATGATTCTAACTGCGATGCAAAAGAATGCGCAGACTGCATCTGGTGCAATAAAGACGTTATGCACTCGAATCCACCTGTAATGGAGCATAGGATAATCGTCAACTTCCGGTTGCGGTTACGGACCCGACTCACGATAGAGGGACAGAAAGGAGAGCCGACCGAATATATATGACTATGGTCCAGCCACCCCAGATGGGGCTCTATCTATGATCATGTTCTCATCCCATCTCACCTCTCGGCGCACATTAAACCATATATCCGCGGTGTACTACTTTCGGAAAGGATTTAGTTCGGAAGCGGACACTGGTGATCTGCTCGGCCGGCACTACTTCCGCGTACTATTATTCCTAACTAGTTTGAATGGACCTTTATTTACTGACAGCTAATTAAGTGTTGCCTAGTAATACACACACACACGGAAACCCCACATGAACATAAGCAATCCCGACATCTTGATATTAAGCCTCTTTTTTACGTGAATAACTGCCGTGAATGGAAAGTTCCGGAAATCGGCATTGTTTTGTGGTAAAACTCGTTCTTTTACCGTCAGTGGACCCAGGGATGCATACTGCTAGGAAGGGACCGTCTGGGACCCTCTAATACGAGGAACGCGATCATAAGGCGAAAACAATGCCAGGGCAAGATGCAGAACCCAACTTTCGTAAGCACATAACTGCAGTGACGTTCTTCGGGTGTAACTTACGGGCCCGTTCTCCAATTCGTGAAAAACACCTGAAGAGCAATATAAAGCGTAAGGTCAGGGATACTTAAAATCTTTGATGACTGAACGTGGCCGCCCACTTGTGAGTGGACATCCCAAAGAGGGCCCACTATGTTGGAGAGATATGTCAAACTTTGACTATCAGATGTATTGGAGGTGTTACTCAACGTTATGTAACGTATTTATGTAAACGAGAAGTGGCCCCAAATCCCTTTGCCTGCAAGAACTTTCATAAGAAAGATACCACCTCAGCAAGAGAACTTCAACACCAGCGAAGAAAGGTCATCTGTCTTACCTTGTCTTTGTTCGAGAGTTTGGGCTTTTTTGAACTATAAGGATAACGAAACGGTGTCATAGATATTTACCTTAGTGAGGACTTTCTTTTCGTGCAGTCACCTGCATTAAGACTGCGCGAGGATGCGCGTTTTCCGGCCATGGGAAGACAACTTTACGTAAGGCATTGATCGGGTCGGCTGGTGTGAGCCGAGTAATTGGCACTCTGAAGTAACTTATGATGGCGGGAGTTATTCTTTGTCTCTTTGTATACCGAGATTGTAAATATCATAAGTTATTTCTTCTGCTGAAGTCACCCTGGGGTCTATTTATTTTTTTTCTACTTATTCAGTAGTTTGTTAAGTTCTCGCAGGTAAACGTGACGAAGCAAAGTGGGCCAACCCGATCAGCTGATCAACAGCCGACTAATTGTCGATGACAAAAAAGCGAGAATCGGCAGCCCGGACAAACAAAACACTGGTACTTTGATGGTACTAATACAAATTCCAGGAGGAGGTTTTAACATTTCGACTCTCACCGGCCCTTTAGATTTATTTATTAGATTTTTGCTACGTTTATCTCATGCTCTTTTTGAATATACAGTTGGATGTGTTCGAAGGGCGAAGCCCTGGAACGTCTGCGATAGTAGTCATCCTTCTAGTCATTTATCATCTATTTATGATGATCTTCGTGGAACAATTGCTAGCCGCAAATAGAAAGAAGTTCAACCCAGTGAAACGTTAACACATTAACTCGCATCGGTGACTTTAGCGTAAATGCATGCAAGCAAAACCAACAGGTCCGACGTTGACTAGCTTAACTGGCGGTTGCATACCATCCCTTTTCCTAACGAAACCCGACATAAAACATGGATTTATTTGATGTGACAGACTTTGGAACTTATTATATTGACTGCCAAGTTTGGGGTGTTTGGGTCAAATGGATATATTCTTCACTGGGCTACGTTAACAGTTAAGTCCCCTCTAGCGTGGTCGTTTCGCTTGGCTTTTCTCGGCTTGGTTTTATCGTCTTATCATGTTTTCGCTTGGCTAGGCCCGCTAAAGCAGTGATCCTTAACGGAAACGCGTGCCGCCTTTTCACGCGTCTTCTCTCGCTGACAATAGCCAGCCATCCGTTTTGCAGTGCCCTATCAGTTCTTTCCTCGCTTGCTGCTAAACTCTACGTCCTTCGCAATGAGTCCAGATTTGTCCCGCGAACATTATCAAATAAATTACAAATTTGCACAGGATAATTCAAACTTTGTGGTTACAGGTTCTTCCTCGGGTGCGATCATTGATTTAGAGTGATCCAGCCAACCAACCATACATGCAGCTCAGGGCAGCACTCCTTTGACTTCATGCTGTTTCTCATCGTCTGCGGTACTAACATTTCATTCAAGAAGAATGTATGGATGACCGAAAAACCCACCGAACTTCTTAGAAGAATGCAAAAACTTCGTGTTGATCTCCACATCGACGATATGCTTTTCAAAGAAATGTTGCTGGTGCACCTGCCTGCCGATGTTCAGACCAGTCTGGCATCTGACACAGAAGATCCATTGGTCTTCTGTCTAACGGAGATTGCGGACAGGATGTTTGGAGTGGAGTTGTTCCAGCCGCCCTCCGTCGCCCAGCTGTCTATTTCCTTGTTGAAAAAAATTTACTGAGCAGAGTGCGAGGCAGATGGCGGCCGTGGCAGAATTGATGACGTTCTTAAAAATCAAGCTTGCACGCCTTTCCTCTAGTCTGTTATCTAACCGTCGCCGTTCCCCTTCGCAACCTCGAACAGTCGATATTTGTTTCTATCATACCAACTTCGGTGCGAAGGCTCGCCGATGTTCCTCCCCTGCTCGTCCACGTCCAAGCACGGAAGCCAGTCAGCCAGAGAATATACCCGACCTTTTTCTCTGGACCCTCCGGCTGTGGTCGCACCTTCTATGTCTAAGACAACTGACACGCAAACGTTTTCTAGTGGACACTGGAATCCAAATCAGCGTTGACCCACCCACTCCACCCGACCATCGTTTCCCCAGCTTTGGTCTCCGTCTCCAAGTTGCCGACTGCTCCTCCATTCTCACTTTTCGCCTCGTGTTCCTTAACCTAGACATTGGCCTTCGTCCATCGTTTCCAGGGATCTTTGTGATTGCTGATAAGCTTCATGAAATCCACGGCTCGGTCTTTCTTGCTGAGTTTGATCTCCTTGCTTAGCCTCGAGGGTCATGTCTCCTCGAGCCCCCAACTTAACTGTCTAATCGCAGGTTAGCCCCTATTACTACTTCCGACAACGTATCTCTTCTAGATTCAGGTATTACCTGTCCCTATTGGGAGATGCTGTTTAAACATCCGAACCAACACAGAGTTTCACAGTGGCGACCTCCAGCATGATGTTGTGCATCATATCTGCACATGAGGTCCTCCTGTATTCGCTCGTCTTAGACGGCTAGCTCCTGCCCACCTGCAGTCCGCTAAGGCAGAGTTTGAGGATATGCTGTAACTGGGCATTGTCTGGCCGTCCAACAGCCCTTAGACGTCCACCTTACACATGGTGTCCAAGCCGGCTCCGGGGGCTGGAGACCTTGCGACGATTATCGGGCCTCTAGTAATGTTATCATTCTCGATCGCACACTGTGCCACATATTCTGGATTCCGCCAGTGTCCTTTTGGCAAAACCGTTTTTTCGAAGATTGACCTGGTGCGCGCCTTTCATCGGCCCCTAATGTTGTCTCCAATACCTCCATTACCACACCTTTCGGCCCCTTTGAATTCATCTGCATGCCCTTCGTTCTTCGTTATGCCGCCCCAACGCTCCAGAGGTTCATTGACCATGACTTAGATGACCTGCCGTTTGTGTACGCTTACGTCGATGACCCCTCAGTGGCCGCCCAGAATGCTGAAGAACACAAAGAGCACATGGCCTGGGCGTTCGACCAGCTCAACAAGTTTAGCGTTATCAGTAACCCCCCTATATGCGTTCCTGGTGTACCTTTGCTCGAATTCCTCAGCCATCATGTTGACTTTGAAGATTTGCATCCTCTGTCCTCCAAGGTTGAAGCAATTCGTGATTTCCCTCCACCAACCTTCGAGCGTCAGTTACAGCGTTTCCTCGGCATGGTCAATTTTTACCGTCGGTTCCTACCGAACTGTGCTGACCTTATGCTGCCGCTCACCAAAATGCTTTCTGGTCCTAAAGTCCCCATCGAGCCGGCTGGTGATACACTGACTGCTTTTGGGAGAATCAAGAATCCTCTTGCCAAAGTCACCTTGCTCACGCATTCCGCTCCCGAAGCTCAGATGTCCCTGATGGTAGATGCTCCGACCATAGGCGTAGGTGCAGTCCTTCAACAACACCTTGCTATTCCAACTTAGCCACTGGCCTTTCTCTCTCAAAAAAAACTCTTGCGATGAGGACCCCCTACAGTACCTATGGCCGTAAACTAGTTACCATTTAGCTGACTGTGAAGCATTTACGGAATTTCGTTGAAGGTTAGAACTTCACCGTTCTCACGAACCATAAGTCGTTGACTTTTGCCCTTCGTTCCCACCCCGACAAGTACAATCCAAGAGAGATCACTCACTTGGACTACATCTCCCAGTTCACCACTGACATCCGCTACATTGATGGAACGAAGAATGAGATGGCTGTCATACCTTCCAGGCCCTCAATATCTTCCCTTCAACTCTCACACAGCATCGACCTTGGCGTCACGGCGACTGTGCAGCGAGTCGGTTGTCCGGGCGACGCGTCAATTATTGGCCCTCGACCCGAAGACCATCCTCTGATTACAGGAACAGGTACCACACTTTTGACGTCTCGACTCCCTTTCATCGTCCCTTCGTGCCTGTCTCGGTTCATCGAGCAGTGTTTCAAACCCAGCATTGATTCTTCTACCATGGGATCCGAGCTTTTCAAAAGCTCCTCGCGGACAGGTTTGTCTGGCCTGACATTAACAAGGACGTCAAAGCTTGGGCCGGGTCGTATCTGACTTGCAAGCGGAACAAAGTGTGGAGTCACGTCAAGTCCCCGCCTGACAATTTTCTCATTCCCGACGCACAATTCAGCCATATGCACCTGGATCTCGTAGGCCCCTGCCTCCATCCGATGGCTATACTCACATTCTTTCCTACATTGATCGTTACATCCGCCGGAATGAAGTCACTTCCTTGTTGGCAGTGCAGCCTGGAACCGCAGTGAAGGATTTCGTCAGTCGTTTGGTCGTCATGTTTGGTGCCCCATCCGTGATTACGACTTATCGTGCGACCCAGTGTGCGTCTCCACTCTTCCAAACGCTCCTCAGTTTTCTTGGCTGCACACTCATTCGGACGACAATCTTCCACCTAGCTGCAAACGGGAGGGTTGAGCGTTTCCATCGCCAACAAAAGTCTGCCCAGCGTGCCGCAGAACATTCAGGAAACTGGTCAGACAACATTCCACTTGCACTCTTCTGCATTAGCGCAGCTCTGAAGTTGGAAGTTGGCTGTGGTTCAGCTGATTTGGCTTTCAGCACTACCCTCCGACTGCCAGGCCAGATGGTCACTGCAATCCTCGTGGCGCCGACGAGACCCAGACAATTTTGTGCACCGTCTGCGGCAATGTATGCGCTCGCCGTCTCCGATTCGACCTCGAATTCCAGTGGCCGAGTCTTACGTCGAAAAGGCTTGGACAACTGCACCCATGTGTTCGTCCGGTGTGATCGTGTGCGTCAGCCGCTGGAATCACCATACGAAAGAGCGTTCCGCGTGCTCGCACTCAACACCAAACCTGCCGGACCCTTCGCGGCGACAAGGGGGATGTGTTCAATATAGATCAGGTCAAGGCTGCTGTCACAGAGGAGTTGCGGGGCATACCTCAAGGACAGGACTGTGCCGACTCCCTAGCCCCTGATCCTCACCATTTCCAACCCTCTCCTACCCCGCTTTCCCCCACAGACTCCGACCCTAACTTTTCCAATGCTAATGTCCCTCGCACTGCTCGTGGTGGTCGTCGCGTCTACACTCCCGACCGCCTTATCACTCAAGTGTACTGCAGCGTATGCTGCACGAGCTGCCAGAACATCATGCCACAAACGCGTGACAAGTGAACAATCAAGGTCATGACCCCTGCTCAAATCTTTGTGCTGATTGGCCACCCATCAGCCTATGACAGTCCCCCTTGTCATATACCCGGCAGTTTCCACAAGCCTCCTCACTTGTGCCGTTTCTCGTACTCAGTACACGTTCTGTCTCCAATTAACCTTCTGCTCTGCATACTTACCATTGACGGCGCAGCCTAACAGACAGGTCTTCATTCCTGCCTACATCGTTACCTTTCTGGCCAAAGAACACCCAGGAACCATCAAAAGACTCGTGGCTGCAATGGAGGAAGATATTTGAGGATTATATTGAACTACTTCCGATTTTGTCGCCCGCGATTGTATTAGATATCCTGTCTAAGTTGAAACTCCTCCGGAAGAATCTCGGAGAGTTGGGACAAGGATATTTTGATGTCCTCAATCTACAAGAGGCTACAGATCACCAAACGGCCTTTATAAAACTCGAGTCAGCATGGGGAGGGAAAGACAACGTCTTTCTCACTCGTTATCGGTTTTGTCAAATGCTTCAAGAATTCAATCAGTGTGTGAGGGATTTTATTAATAATCTGACTCTGGCCATTCAGGACTGTAGGTATAATGAGATCAAGGCAGACAATTTCGAGCACGCAATGCTCGTTCGGCAGTTGATCGTCGGTCTGCGCGATGAAAAAGCTCGGGAAAATCGCTTGTCAGATAAGAAGTATTTGTCATTGGAGAAAGCCTGTGATATCGCAGGACCTTCAGCATCTGAGTCATTCAAACGATGGAGTGATATCATACTTGGAATCTTAAATGGCCGTCTCCCTGGTCAACACTGCTGTGTCTTCAACTAGACAGCGATCATCACTTCCCTCTAAACAACTATCATCCTGCTACCGTTTTGGTCAGCATCATATCCGGTGGTCAGATTGTAGACACCAGAAAACGGTATGCCATTTTTGCAAGAAAATCGGCCACATCGAACGAGTGTGTTTCTCCAAAAGACGAGCGAATAGTAACACGCATGCGACCTACCCTAGTCCAGCTGGGAATGGTGAGGCGATACTCCGAATGTTTCCGGCCAACGCTACTCTACAATCGCCCTACACCACCACGCTTCCGGTTGATCGCCATCCCGTAAAGTTTGAAATCAACACTGGTTCAGCTGTTACTTTCATCAACGAGGCCGCTTTTAATAAATTGCCCTTATTCCTTCCGGCTAGTTCAGCATTCCTTAGTTACACTAGACAGGACTTAGATGTTCGAGGGGTCTTTACAGCAGGAGTCCAGCATTAGAATGACTACATTATTTGCCGGTTAATGTGGTGAGAGGAAGCCAGCAACCAAATCCCCTCGGACGGAATTGGATTAAATGTGTGCCTTCTGTACTTTCCTACGTACATCTGACTGGTATAAATCCGGCTTAACATTTCATTTTGGTAGATCATAAGTATCTATTTCGTGACGAATTTGCTACATACTACAACGGTCTATCTTTTATGTTTCCGTTTCAGTCAGAGTCCCGGCCTCGGTTCTCCAGGGCTCGTACAGTTCCCTATGCATTCGCACCGAAGGTCGAAGAAGAGCTGGGTCGCCTACAGATAGCGGCTATTATCGAGCCCGCGCACTATTCGGAGTGGGCAGTCCCCATAGTTCCTGTTCGTAAATTCGATGGTTCTTTGCGTAAATGCGTATCCGCCGACAATCAACTCAACAACTAAACTGAACCCTTATCCTTTGCCGCGCATGGAGGATCTGTACGCATCCCTCTCAGGTGGTCATTAATTGACAGCTTTGGACCTGAAGCATGCTTACAGCCAAGTCGTCCTAAATACTGAATTCCAAAACGCTACAATCATGAACACTCATCAGGGTTTATATGGATATAAAATACGACTATTTGGAGTTAGTTCAGATATCGGTTTATTTCAATGCTTGATTGATAACCTTGTGAAGGATATACCTCACGCTTGCGCATATCTTGACGATATATTAGTCACCGGCCCATCTGAACTTAGTGTTATAGAGACTCTATACATCGTGGTAGGATGTTTAGAAGACGCAGGTTTTAAACTCAGAAAAGATAAGTGCATTTCTCTTGCCGACGCGGTAAAATACCCGTACTTCATGGTGGATAAAACTGGCCTTCATCCACTTGAACATAAGCTCAAAGCCTTGAAGACGGCACCGCGTCCTGTCAATACTAGTCAATTGCGTTCATTCCTGGGGTTTGTTACCCACTTTAGTCGCTTTATGAGTCAATCGGCTACAATTCTAAAGCCTCTTTATAAACTACTTGAAAATAATCCTCGCAGGAACTGGTCGGAGGTCGAACAAAGTGCTTTTGAACAGGCAAAGGCACCTCTTACCTCTTTATCTGTCTCCTATGATCCCGAAAAGCCTAGCATACTGAAATTTGATGCCTTTCCGTACGGCGTAGATGAGGTTCTCATGCACCGAATGCCTTCTGGTGCGGAGATCCGGATTGCCTTTTCATCAATAACCTTGTCACAGGCGGAAACCAACTATTCGCATGTAGATAAAAGTGCCTTAGCAATAATACTTGGCCGGCATCGCTTTTATCTGTATCTTTTGGCCGACACTTCGAGATTCACACTGGCCACAAAACCCTCTTAGGTTTGCTGGGCGAAAAACGAGAGGTATGGCAAATGTCCTCTCCGAGAATTCAACGATGGGCGCTCACTCTCTGCTTACAAATATGCAATGAAATACGTTACGGGTAGTGCAAACTTAATGACTGATGCCTTAAGTAGGCTTCCAATTGTAGACGGTGGCATTAACGGGACACCTGTTTTTGAGACCGAGAATCTTTTGCAGAACCTAGTCAACGCACCCATAACCTGCCAACAAATTCGACGATGGGCATCGAGAGACCATCTACTAAGTCGAGTAAAGGAGCCTTGCAATCTGGCTAGCCGTCCCCTACTTCCCCTGATTTTCAACCATTCTTCTGCGTCAGAACGAGTTGAGTCTACAAGACAGATGCATACTATGGGGGCGATAGTGTAGCTGTGCCACCACGACGCCAACGGACCATCCTCAGAGACCTGCATAATTCTCATCCTGGTGGAGTTAGAATGAAAGCTCTCGCCCGCAGCTATATTTGATGGCCCAAAATTGATGCAGATATCGAAAATGTGGTGAAAACATGTCACGTGGGCTAAATAACACACAAGACTTTATCGAAGGTGCCTCTGAAGCCTTGGACCTGGCCCGACTCGCCGTAGAAGAGGGTACACGTCGATTATTTTGGGCCGTTCCAAGGCCATATGGTCCTGGTGGTGGTTGACGCCCACACTAAATGGACTGATGCGATTACGACAGGAAATTCATGTTCTTCACTGACTACAATCAACGAGTTGCGAATTGTTTTTTCTACTTTTGGGATACGCGAAACGGTCTTTTCCGACAAAGGCCCGGCCTTTACTAGTGCAGAATTTAAAGGTTCCATGGAGGAAAATGGAATAAGGCATTTAGCTTGTGCTCTGTACCACGCTGCTTCTAATGACCTCACAGAGCTTGCTGTCCAGACAATAATGCATAGACTAGCCAAACAGACGGAAGCGGACTTGGCCACCAAGTTGTCACGCTTTTTGTTCGCCTATCGACTCAGTCGGTTCTTCGCCTGCAGAACTGATGTTCAAGCAGTAGTTACTCACACGGCTCGATCAGCTTAATCCATTAACGCATGATGGAATCATTGTAAAGCAGACGAAGATAAAAACACGATATGATGTGAACACCTGGCCACGAGTCGTCGCGCCTAACGAAAGTGTCCACACGCGACTGGAACACGAAACGAACTGGTGTCCAGCGATAATTCGAACAAGTGAGGGGCAGATAGTGAAATTAGAGTAAGAAGACGGGAAAATTGTGCGTCAAAATCTGGACCAGGTTCGCAGCCGAACGGATACAGTAAGCAGAGAATTCGGAAAGTTCGAACTGCCAGCAACTTTTGATAGGGATCCTGACATCGCGAGGACTAAACACCTACTGCCCACAGAGAGCGCTACGCCACCGACCGAGGCGTACGTTCTTCTTCTTCTTCTTCTTCTTCTTCTTCTTCTTCTTCTTCTTCTTCTTCTTCTTCTTCTTCTTCTTCCTCCTCCTCCTTCTCCTCCTCCTCCTCCTCCTCCTCCTCCTCCTCCTATCCCGGCTAACTATAAGAGCACCGGGTTCACTAAGCCTCGACGTCCTGACAGTCTACCGACCCCCGAGAATTGATCTCGCGGTTGACGCCCGTTTGATTGGGGACCTGGAGAGATTATCTATCAGGTCCGAAGTCTAAATCATGGGAGATTTCAAAGCATCTGGTCGAGACCATGTTTTCGGCCGAGGTTTGCTGGACATGACGCTCAGGTTATTTCGCACTCAGTACGTCTCGTTTCCGACGAAGGTACGCGCAGAACAACGGTCAAACTGTCCGCATCTGATCCTTACGAAGTCGCGGGGCAGCACTGATGAGGTGCAGTGCCTACCTCTCCTAGGTCGAAGTGACCGCATCGTACTGTTTTAGAAGTACTCCATCCTTTCTCTGCCCGAACAAGCCACCAGAGTTAGAGGGAACATTTTATCGCGGCGACTTTACCCAAATGAAAGTCAAACCAGACACCATAAACTGGGAATCAGCTTTTTCCGGTGACATATTCAAGGATTAAGTCTGGTTTAGTGAGTTATTGCAAGTCATTCTCAGAGACCACTGTCCTATTTCACAGAAGAAACTGAACAGCAGATACCCCTGGCTAACACATGCTTTAAAAAGGAGCGAATAAAAGGCGGGGGTCATGGGGAAAATTTTCCCCGGACAAGAGCTCTGTGTCGATGAATGCATACGAGACACAGAGGCTAATCTTCGGGACGCGGTGTACTTTCGAGAGAGACCTACTGAATCGGGCCGCAGAGAATATGAAGCTATTCTATGGTTATATAAGAAGAAGCACGCGAAACAGAGACCGAATCCCACTACTGAAAGCTAGTGATAACCTAAATCTCAGTGAAGACGGAGAAAAGGCAGAGCAATTTTCATTATTTTGTAGTTCATCTTTAAGAAGGAAAGCGCATTTATTCCTCTCGACTGCGACATAATGGACGAGCCAACTATTGAGATTGTCCTTTTCGCCGAAGCTATTGTTCGCAAAGGACTGTTGACGCTGGGTGAGTCTAAATCACCTGGGCCGGATGACATAACATCCAAATTGTTGAAGGGGCTGACAGGAGAACTATCTAAACCGCTGTATATGCTCTTCCAAGCTTCCTTCGTATCAGGATATTTGTCCGCCGATTGAAAATATTCACGAAACATGCCGCATTATGAAGGCGGCAGCAAGGTTTTAGCAAACAACTATAGACCAATCAGCCTTACTTCAATTTGCTGCAAAATTGTGGAAAATATAACTAAGCGAAAAATAATGCGCTTCCTAGAACAGCATAATCTGCTATGCGAGGCCCAACACGGATTTTGTAGAGGCAGATCATGCGTGACAAACATACTCTATTGTTTAGAACGTTGGGCCCGGACAGTTGACGGCGGAAATGAAGTGTACGCAGTCTACGTCGACTTTAAGAAAGCATTCGACAGTGTACCATATCAGCGTCTCCTGTACAAATTAAGCCGAAGAGGCATTAGGTATAGTTTCCTGAGTGGACCCAAAGCTTCTTGATCGGTCGCTCTCAAACCGTCCACGTCGGTGACAGGCGGTCGGCGGAGATCGCGGTTGACAGCGGAGTTCCTCAAGGTTCCGTCCTTTGCCCTACCCTATTCACTGTATACATCAACGATTACGATTAGGGTTCGACTTTTTCGGATAGAACTTGGAAGAGCATTCCAGATAGTGACATATTTTATGGTGTAGAAATTTGACCGTTGTGACTTTGTGAATTTGGGGCTCCTTATAATATTTTCGTTATTTCTGGTGTTTCTGGGGGCGTTTTTGTTTGTTAATAAATTCATTTTGAGAATATCTCGGTCATGGGTAAATTGCAAAGAGGAAGTTTAGACCACTTTGGAGTCTTCTGATCCAGGGGGGTCGAAGACCGTATTTATGATATAGTTCTAAGTATAAACCCTGGGTGCCATCACTTCTATTAAAAGATCTAGTAAAACGCCTCTGAACGGCTTTAAGTTTCTTTCGGCCGTCTGAGGACATTATACCGAAGAAAATCGAGCAATAATCAAGGAGAGGTAAAACTTAAATTTTGAAGAGTTATATTCTTAGTGCATTTAAGGTGAAATTTTTACATATGAATCCACACAGGCGAGTGGCTTTTGGTGATATAAGTTGGACATGGGGGGATCAATCAAGGGTATTTGTATAGCTGAAACCTACATCCTTTACCGATTGGGCCTCTGCTATTTCACTATCCTCAAATATTATGGGGGGAAGTTTTTGTGGACCAAATATCAGGAGATTACATTTTTCGGGTGGGAAGGGCATCTGCTATTGACTACTCCATTCACTGAGCTTTCTGAGATCATTTTCATTTGTTCTGTAAATATTGGCTACTGTATTCCCATTATATGTGTATGCAAGTTTAAGGTCATCCGCATACAAGAACGCCTTAGATGATACTGGTATGGACGATAATTCGTGAATATATATGAGAATTAGAAGGGGGCCTAGGATAGTGCCTTGGAGTAATAGGTAATAGGGAATGGTTTTGAGAGTACGTTTCGAATTTGCTCCATATGGTATCGGTTTTGAAGATGGTTTTTAAGAAAATCGAGAAGGGGAAGCCTAATTCCATGCCGTCTCAACTTTATAAGTAGTCTTTTATGAGGGACTTTGCAGAAGAGGACCAAGGCGGCTGATGTGAGCTGACTCCATTATCATTCACCAAAGTCCTGGGACAACCAAATCTGCTGAAAATTCGCCGAAGAGGGCTAATTGTGGTTCCGACTGTCGTGCGTTCCATGAGCCAGACTTCCAGCCTTTTGCTGTGTGCTTCGACAGCGATATGGAAGTTTTGACTGTTTACCGGTCGAGCATAATCATTGTGGACTCCGGACCACGGGGCTTGTGGGACAGGCCATATTTTGAGTGTAGTCTTCGATGGCGCCTTTGATGTGAGTGCACATTTGGTGCAGTAACGAGCTAGCTGTTCAAATTTTTGATCCATGTGAGGCCAGTACATATAAAATGCGAGCGGAAGCTTTCATGCGATTAGGTCTCGGACGACCTGTATGAAACTGTCTCGGGACCCTTGTTTGTGGCAGATTGACACGTTCGTAGAACAGAATAAATCATTAACGGTGGACAAAGAGTGTTGTCGTTAGTGAGGCTGTTGTAGTTCTGCGCAAGGTTTTGCGGATTACTGTGTGGTGTTACATACGAAGTTTTGTCAACAATGCGTCCTGTTGTGCTGCGTTTCGGACTTCCTCAAATTGACAACGAGCGCTAGTGTAGCCCATAAGGGGACTGTGGACCTCTGATGCGACGTAGATGGATATGACCACGCCTTCAGGTTCGTTATTCCGCGAATTGATTAAACGCTCGAGTGTGTTGGAGTGACCGATGTTCGTGGTCAACCGGTACCGAATATTGAAGTCGTAGATCAGCAGCGTGGTTGTCCAGTGCTGAAGATGACTGGCCGAGGGCACAATAAATATCTTTCTTCAGGCCGGATATTACAAGGAGGGGCTGATGCTCCATGAGAAGGGTAAAATGACGGCTATAGAACATCTTGTGAAACTTCTTCCCGGCGAAGATAATAACCAAACAGACCGTAGCTGCGGTCTATAGACGCAAGCGACCTTGTGGCCTGACAAACAGCCTTTTCGATGTCGTCAGGAAGAACGTGTGAGATTACTGCGCCAAGTCCATAGTTGGAGGCATATGCTGCGAAGACAATCGCCAGATCGCCATTAAAGTGAGTGAGCGCAAGTCAGAGCTCAGCACTCTTTTCACTTCTTTAGAGGTCTGTTGGCGCCCTCTCGACCAGTTCAACTTGGCCTTTCGTTTGAGTAGTTTATTCTCTTGATCACGAAAGCGGTGCATTTCCGGAAGGGTTAGCTTGTGGTGACTCATAAGACCCAAGAAAGAGCGTAGGAAACCTAAATCCCTTGATGAAGGCATCTGCTTGATGGCGCCGATGTTATCAGGATCTGGACAGCGACTGGCTCGGTCGATTATGAACCCGATGTATTTTATGGAAGGCATGAAAAATTACAATTGTTCGGGTGGAAGCGGAAGCCGTAGTTCTGGGACCGACTGAGTACGATTTGCAAGCCTTACAACAATTAATCTAACTTTGAACCAGTGACAATGATATTATCCAGACATGCAGAGGTTCCTTCTGGGCTGGTCAGTATAATATCCATAGCTTGCTGGAAAATATTTTGAGCAGTCTTAACACCAGATGAAAAGCGTGTGAATTGGAACAAACCACGAAGAATGATCTGAAGAAGCTCCAGGGATTCTTCGGCCACTTTGATTTGGAGGTATGCACCAGATAAATCACGTTTGGCGAAACGGGCTGCACCACTTAGGTTATCAAAAAGGTTATCCGGCACTGGTAGGGGATACTGGTGCGCGTCCAGAGCAGCATTAACCCCAGTGGATAAGTCAGCATTGATACGAACTTTATCAGTGCTTTTTGACGACTAGAGTTGGTGAGGCCCATACAAAATAATTCCCTGGCTGATTGACCATTGTGAGACCAGCATAAAGACACTTTATTGATACGCTAAATGCAGTCCTGGACGTTGATGACGGCATGTGGAGAATTGGGTTCTCCCTTAATGTGAAGATCGTGCTTGTAGTTCTTGAGCCGCTGACACTCGGAATTTAACGTTCACCGGGTTGTATCGGAATATGTTTAATGTTGCTGAGCAGACAGGTTCCGGTTTCAGCATCGACAGTTGACCGCAGAGCACAAAGTTAAGATACTTTAAGTACTCCGTTGGCATAAACTGCCTTAATTCTCGAGTAGACCAAAACCACCATCTGGGAAGAAGAACTTGGCGTAACAGCGTAGAAATGTGAAACATCAAGGAACTGTTTTCGAAGAACAGTCCTCTACACCGACTAGCGACAAAAAATAATTATTCTGCGGAAGAAATTATGAGTGAATCTCCATGCCAATAGCACATATAAGGGTAACGCGCCTTTTGAAGGACACATTAAGAGAGTTGTTAGTGGCAAAAGCAATGCTCAGTGCTAACTGCCAAACTGACGAGGGCCTAGAAGTCTCAGATATGAGAGTACACTTACCTGCAGGAAGGCGAC